GATACCAACTCGCAATGCGCGCGGCATGGTGCATGGGTCCCCGGAGGTCTGCTGCATGGCTTGTGACTCGTGGGCTGCCTTCAGGAGTGCCGCTTGGGCTTGTGACTCGTGGGCTGCCTTCAGGAGTGCCGCTTGCGTACTCGGATCACACGTCTGCGTCGGCGGCGAACGAAGCAGGAGCAGGCCTCCTCAGAAGGCGGCGGGAAACTCCGCAGAAGCCCTCGCGCCCTCCGGGAAAACTCCGGTGCCTCCGGGGAAGGCTCAGAGAGCACTCCTCGGAAGGCCAGGGGACATCCGAGCCCTCCGGGAAGGCCCTCTCCACCCGGGGAAGAGAGGGCCTTCCCGAGGGCACCTCCCAGATCGCGGGGGCGCCTCGGCGCACCTTGCTCCACGCACCCACCCCATGACACCCTCGCTCGCGCTGCACAGGCGCATCCATGACGCGCCCAAGGCGCCAGACGCCGAGAAGATGCCAAAGATCCCCGCCTCCCCGCCTCCCCCTCCCCCCCAGGGAGGGGGGGGGGGGCTCGCCGCCGACGGAGGGGATCCCAGAGGCCCGCCGGGCGGGGTCCCTGGCCCTGGGCCGCGAGAGCGGCGGCCGCACGGAGCAGGCCCGGCGGCGTCGGAGGCACGCGGCGGGCTCCGTCGGAGGAGGGCGCTCGGAGGCAGCCGCGGGGGCACGCCGCGGAAGACCGCCCCCCCCCCCCCGCAGAGGGGCAGCGACGGGCTCGCCACCGCTCGGGCGTCCATTCCCCGTGCGTTGTTCGGTCTCGTGCGTGCTTTTTTCTTCGCAGGGTGATCCGAGCTGCTCTTCGGTGGTCCTCGCCGAGAGGAGAATGCACACGTCCGAACGGTGCCAAGGGGGGGGGGGGGAAGGCTCGGAGGCAACTGAGGAGGGCTCGGAAGCCCCCTGGCCTCCCCGGGAGGGCTCGGAGGCATGCGAAAGGGCGCCGCAGAAGAGATCGCTCCCCCCCGAGGGGGCAACGACAAGGGGGGGGCTCGCACAGGGGGGGGGAAGCATCGACCCGGAATCGGCGACGGCGCATTGGCGGTAGGCCTCCGACAGCAACTCCCCGCGCTCATGGGCGGGCTGGGACTGTCGGGCCCCTGTCGGCGATGAGTGGACGGGGGTCGATGCATCCCCCCCTGTGCCTGTCCCCCGCTATCGTTGCCCCTGGCCCCCCCCCCCTCGCGCCCGCCGCTTCCGCGCGCCGCCGCGAGGGGCTTTGTCTTCTCAGAGGCCGCCCGCCCCTCTCGCGGAGACCGAGCACTCGGAAGGGACATGCTCCGCGTGGGCGCAGCCTCCTGCCAGGAGAGGCCACGTCCAGACGGGGAGAGCCCACAAGTGTGGAGCGAGCACTCCTGTCATGGACTCAGCCCGTATGAGCTGATAGCCTCCGGCGAAAGACCGCCTCCTCCCCCGCCCCTCGCGCCCGCCGCTTCCGCGCGCTGCCGACGGGGCCCCTGCCTTCTCAGAGGGCCGCGACCTGGTCGCCCTGCCCCTCTGGCGCACCGCTAGGTGGCCGTCGGGGCGGGCGCCCCGTGAGGAGGGGCCCCTGCGGCTCGACGCCGTGGGGTAGCGGAGCAGTCCAAAGCGCGTCAAACGCCTCCAGGAGACCTTTGCCAAGAGGCTCGAGACGATGTCCGGAGAGCTTGCAAGCTCGAGCAAGGAGCTTCGAAAGAGCCCCCAAGGAGCTTCGAAGGAGCTGCGGAAAGGCTTCGGGCACGCGTTCTGGGAAAGAGCCGGAAAACGCTACCCGGGACACGCTGCAAGCTCAAGCAGGGCGCTGCGACTCTGCTTGACTGGCGCCGGAAAGAGCTCCCAGGCTACTCTGCGCTGCTGGCCTCTAATATGAGACCCTCTTAGCTCTCAGGAACTATCCGACCGAGCGCCTGCGGCGCAACCCGCGGAGTCAAAAAGAGGAGGAGGAGGAGGAGGAGGAGGAGGAGGAGGCGAGGAGGAGGAGGAGGAGGAGGAGGAGGACGAGGAGGAGGAGGAGGAGGAGGAGGAGGAGGAGGAGGCGGTGTGGGCTTCACGCAAGCGGGCGGGTGGACCCAAATTGTCGCGGGCGAGCGGGCGGACCCTCGCGGTCGGGCGATCCGACCCTGGCGTGCGGGCGGGCCCCACCGGGCGGGCCAGAACGAGGATGACGTCGACGTCGACAACGATGAAGACAGCGGCGACCACGATAGTTGGGACGACGACGTCGACGACGACGAGGACGACCATGATGACGACGGCCGCCCCTGCGGACCGACGGCTGCTAGAGATCCCGCTCCAGCTGATCTCGGTCGGGGGCTTCCCAGCCGGTGGTCAGCGATCGTCGTCGTCCTCCTCCTCCTCATCCTCCTCCTCATCCTCCTTCTCCTCCATCCCTCCCACATCTATCCTGAAGTCCCCCTCCCCCTCCTTTTCGTCCTCCCCGCGGCTCTCCTTCCCTATCTCAACTCGCCTCGCGCTCCTCTTCCTCTTCGTCCTCCTCTTGCACCGTCTCCTTCTCCTCCTCCTTCTCCTCATCCTCCTTCTCCCATTGCGCATCCTCCCCTAGGTAATCATCCTCTTCCTTCTCATCCTCCTCCTCCTCCTCCTCCTCGTCATCATCATCGTCAGCAGCAGCACCACCACCATCATCATCATCATCATCATCATCATCATCAGCATCATCATCACCATTATCATTATCATCATCATCAGCATCACCATCACCACCATCACCATCATCATCATGAGCATCATCACCATTACCATCACCATCATCAATATCATCCTCATAATCATCATCACCATCCTCCTCCTCCTCCTCATCATCATCATCATCATTATCGTCAACATCGTCATCATCACCATCATTATCATCAGCATCACCACCACCACCACCACCACCACCACCACCACCACTATCATCATCGTCATCATCATGGCTGTCATCGTCATTATCATCATCATGGTCATCATCGTCATCTGCATCTTCATCGTCATCGTCGTCGGTGTCAGGATCATCAGCATCAGCGTCATCATGATCATCACCATCATCATCATTATCAGCATCACCCTCAGCATCATCGTCATTGTCATCGTCATCGTCATCACCATCATCATCGTCAGCATCATCATCATCAACATTAACAATATCACCACCGCCATCACCCGTTGTCATCGTCGTCATGATGATGATCCTCATCATCAGCATCACTATCACTGCAACATCATTATCAGCATCATCATCATTGCTTCATGATAATCATCATCATCATCCTCGTGGTCATCACCATCGTCATCATCAGCATCATCACCACCACAATTATCATCTTCATCATCCTCATCCTCATCCTCATCACCATCATCATCATCATTATCATCATCGTCATCTTCACCATCATAATCAGCATCACCATCAGCATCAGCATCAGCATCATCATCATCATCATCATCATCATCATCATCATCATCATAAGCAGCATGATCATCATCATCATCATCATCGTCGTCCGTAGCATCATCGTCATCATCATCATCAGCATCATCATCACCATCATCATCATCATCATCATCATCGTTGCATCATGAGCAGCACGATGATTATCATCGTCGTCAGTAGCATCATCGTCAGCAGCATCATCACCAGCATCATCATCAGCATCATCATCAGCATCATCATCAGCATCATCACGATCATCAGCATCAGCATCATCATCAGCATCATCATGGTCATCTGCGTCATCATCATCGTCGTCATCATCGTCATCGTCATCGTCATCGTCATCGTCATCATCATCATCATCATCATCATCATCATCATCGTCATCGTCATCGTCATCGTCATCATCATCATCAGCATCATCTTATATCATCTTCATCATCATCATCGAGCCCCCAAGGATCAGCATCATCTGCGTCATCATCATCATCATCATCATCATCATCATCATCATCATCATCATCGTCGTCATTGTCATCATAATCGTCATTGTCATCGTCATCGTCATCGTCGTCATCATCATCATCATCATCATCATCATCATCCTCACCATCATCATCGTCATCGTCATCGTCATCGTCATCGTCATCGTCTTCATCATCTTCATCATCATCAGCAGCAGCACAATAACCTCCTCCTTCCCCTTGCCCCTCATCATCCTCGAGCCCGACCTGCTCCTGCTTCTCCTCCGCCTCCTCCCCTGCTCCTCCTCCTGCTCCTCCTCCTCCTCCTCGTCCTCCTCATCCTCCCCCTTCCTTCTGCCCCGCACACTCCCCGACTTCCTCACCCCTATCCTACCCGCCCCCCTTTTGTCCTCGTGCTACATCACCGAATTGGTTGGCTGCGCGTCACCTCCGCTGACCAGAGCAGCATGCTATGGAGCCCATGCCGGCGTCCTTCATAGCGCGCCCCACTCGCTGACGGAGAGTGGGGGCCGATGCCAGCGACTCAGCTTCTGTGGGCGCGAAGGCGCTTGCGCCAGTGAGCGACTCGAAGCGCGCGCGGCTGGGGCGCCGGTGGGAGGCCCAGACGGCGCACCTGAAGTAGAACTGCTTCAGGGAGGAGAGGTGCCTGGTGTCCTTGGGGTCACTGTTCGGCATCAGGGTGTACAGGACGGCCCACACCGGCGGACAGCCAGCGAGCATGTCAAAGTCCAAGGGCGTGAACACTGGGATCCCCGAAAGAGACCAATTCAGCACGTCCAGGAACCGGGAATTGCCCCAGAAAGCAAACGAGTAAGTGGGCCCCGTCCGGAAGGTCTGCTTGAGGTCATCCAGCTCTTTGCAATACTCGCTGATACGCTGGTGGCGCTTGTGGCCCAGGTTCGGGAACTCCGGGTCAACCAAGCTCGGGGGATCCTGGCCCTCCGGGGTCTCAATAAACTGGTCGAACGCCCATAGTGGAAGCACGCAGACGGGCTTCTCGAGCTCGCCCTGCGCGACGGCGGGATCGTCACCTGGCGACTGGTAGAGGCCGCCCACAGCCTTCCGGATGGCCGCTGCGGCCAGCGAGACGACGCGCTTAGACGCCTCGCTCAGAGGGACGTACTTTTCCATCTCGATGCCGAAGAAAAACGGCGAGTCGGTCGCAGGGGGGTGCTTGAAGTGCAGCTCCACTCGAAACTCCCACACGCGCTTCTTCCCCTTGAAATCCACCGCCGTGCCTCTGGGCACGGAGTGGGCGTGCCCTCGGGTCCTTTTGCCCAATCCTCACTCCTGAGAGGTCCTCGAGGGGCCCGGACCCCAAATTTCGAAAAAAATCTCTCGGGGCTTCTCGCGTGCCCCCTGGGGCTTCCCGCGTGTCCCCTGGGCTTTGCCAAGTGGTGGCGCGTGACTTTTTCGGGCCCAGAGGGGCCCCAAGGCAGGCCATGCCCCAAGAGGTCCCAAGACGCTCCAAGAGGGCCCCGAGTCGCCGGCGCCCAGACGGCCCAAGAGGCCTCCAAGACGCCCCAAGAGGCCTCCAAGAGGCCTCCCACGAGGGCCCCAGCAGGCCAAAATCAATGATTTTCCTAAGGTTCATAAAAGATTGGGCGTTCTCGCCGTTTCGGCTTCCCGACGCTCTCAGACGGCCCTTAGAGGCCCACAAGACCGCCCCAATACGGCCCAAGAGGCCTCCAAAAGGAGCCTAAAACGGCCCAAGAGGGCCCCAAGACGGCCCCCAAAGGGGCCCAAGAGAGGGAACACGAACCGAAAATCCAAGCCTTCCGCCCCAAGAGGCCCCCTGGAGGCCCTAAGAGGCGCCCAGGATGCCCCAAGCGGCCCCCAAGAGGCCCCAAGAGGCTTCTAATAGGCCCAAAAAGAAGCCCCACGAGGCTTCGTTTTGGGCCCCCAAGAGGCGTCCAGACTGCCTCCAAGAGGCCCCCGAGGGGCCGCCCACTAGATCCCAACGTACATCCAATAGGCTTCATACCCACAACCCAAGTACGGTGGCGGGATGGGCCGAAGGCCAATAGACCTGGCCCGGCACAGAAACGGAAAGAGCGCTGCAGAAACAGAAACCGAAATTACTCACACCACCGTTCATACCGGGAGCCTTGGCGTTGAGAGCTGGTTACGTCACCCCTCGCTCTGGGGAGCCTTGGGGTTCAGAGATTGTTGCGTTGCCACCCGTTCCTGAGCCTTGGCTGGGCCTTGGTGTCAGGAACTTGTTACGTCACCGCTCTCTGCTGGGAGCCTTGGTCTTGTCAGCTTGTTTACGTCACCGTTCGCTCTTGGGAGCCTTGGTGTGAAGAGCTTTTTGCATTACCGATCGCTCTTGGCGTCTCTGGGCCTTCGTGGGAGTCTTATTGGGGCCCTTTTCGGGTCCTCCTGGTGGCCTCTTGGGGGCCTCTTGGGGCTTCTTGGGGGTCTGTGGGGGCCTCCCGGGAGCGTCTTGGGGCGACAGCCTAAACTTTTCGGTTCGTGGTCCCCCTCTTGGGGCCGTCTTGGGGCCCTCTTGGGCCGTCTTGGGCGCCTCTTGGGCCGTCTGGGGGCCCTCTTGGGCCGTTTTGGGGGCCTCTTGGGAGCCTCTTGGGCCGTCTTGGGGCTGTCTTGGGGGCCTCTTGGGCCGTCGACAACGCAGTGAAAGGCGAAACGCCGTATATGCTAAAATATACGTTTTCCCTCAGAAAATACATGATTTTGGCCTCTTGGAGCTCTCTCGGGACGCCCCTTGGGCGCCTCTTGGGGCGTCTTGGGGGCCTCTTGGGACGTCTTGGGGCTGTCTTGCGCGGTCTTAGGCTCTTCTGGGACGGAAAAGCGGAGAAGTCTGAAAAACATGCAAAAACCCGAAGGAAAACCTCCCAAACGGCCATTCACACTCATTTGTCCCCCGATCCCCCCTCCCCTGGAACCTCTCCCTTTAGGGCTTCACGCACACCAGAACGTCATCACTCGTACCTCGCTCTTTCCGTTACCTGGCCCGGCACAGAAACGGAAAGAGCGCTTCAGAAACAAAAACCGAAATTACTCACACCAACGTTCGTACCGGGAGCCTTAGCGTTGAGAGCTTGTTACGTCATCCCTCGCTCTTGGGAGCCTTGGGGTTCAGAGATTGTTGCGTTGCCGCCCGTTCCTGAGCCTTGGCTGGGCCTTGGTGTCAGGAACTTGTTACGTCACCGCTCTCTGCTGGGAGCCTTGGTCTTGTCACCGTTCGCTCTTGGGAGCCTTGGTGTGAAGAGCTTTTTGCGTTACCGGTCGCTCTTTATTTGGCGTCTCTGGGCCTTCTTGGGAGTCCTATTGGGGCCCTTTTCGGGCCCTTTTGGAGGCCTCTTGGGAACCTCTTGGAAATCGTTGATTTCCCATGGGTTTTTGAAGGATTGTGGCATTTGCTTTTTGTTCGGCCTTCCGACGGCCCGAGAGTGCCCAAGTGCCCCCAAAGATCGCCCAAGAGGCCCAAGACGGCCCCAAGAGGCCCCCAAGCCCAAGAGGCCTCCCAGACGCTCAAGATGGCCTCCAAGACGGCCCAAGAGCCCTCCAAGACGTCCTCCAAGAAGGCCCGAAAGGGTCAAAATGGCCTCCAGACGGCCAAGATGACCTTCAAGATGCCCACGTGTTCCCCGAAGGCTTTCCAAACCGATTCGGGGAACACGTGGTCCGATAGATTGGCAGTTCTGGCCTCAACGTTCGGCCACATAGGCGCTTCCAAAAAGGCAGGGGGCGGCGGTGATTCGCCGGAGGCGTCTTCGATCTGCCGCCCCCTGCTGATTCATCACAGGGGTGCCTGGCGTGCTAGATTATTTCGGTTTGGGTTATGGTTCTTTTTCCAAAAGAACTCCCCCTGAGGCTTCGGCCCCTCCCGCCGGCCACCCGAAAAGATTGCCTGGCTTGCCCGGAGCCAGTTGCCAAGGGTTTTTCTGCTCCAGACGGCTCCAAACCGAGACGGCTCAGATGGCCCCAAGATGCCTCCAAGATGGCCCAAGATGCCTCCAAGACGCCCAAGAGGCCCCCAAGAGGCCTCCAAGACAGCCCAAGAGGCCTCCAAGAGGTCCTCCAGGAGGGCCCGAAGAGGCCAAAATCATGGATTTTCCTTTAGTTTTTGAAGGATTTTGACATTTGTTTCTTTTCGGCATCCCGACGGCTCAAGACGGCCCAAGAGGCCCCCGAGATCACCCACGAGGCTTCCAAGATGGCCCCATGACGGCCCAAGAGGCCCCCAAGACGGCCCCAAGAGGGCCCAAGAGGCCTCCAAGACGGCCAAGATGGCCTCCAAGACGGCTAAGATGGCTAGATGGCTCCAAGATGCCTCCAAGACGGCCCAAGATGCACCCAAGACGGCCTAAGATGGCCTCAAGATGGTCCAAGACGGCCCAAAAGGCGTCCAGGAGGTCTTCCAGGATGGCACGAAGAGGCCAAAATCATTGATTGTCCTAGGTTTTTTGTTTTGTTTTTTAATTGGGGCATTTGCTTCTTCTCGGCATTCCGACGGCTCAAGACGGCGCAAGAGGCCTCCAAGATCGCCAAAGAGGCCTCCAAGATGGCCCCATGACGGCTCAAAAAGCCACCAAGACGGCCCCCAGAGAGCCCCAAAACGGCCCAAGAGGCCTCCAAGACGCCCAAGATGGCCTCTAAGAACCCCTGATATGCCCCAAGAAGGCCCCAAGACGACCCAGACATGCCCCCAAGACGGCTTCCGACGGCGTCAGACAAGCCAGGAACGCTCTAAGACTGGAAGCTCACAGGAGGCCCCAAGAGTGCCCCAAGCGGCACCAAAGAGGCCTCCTCCTCCTCCTCCTCCTCCTCCTCATCCGCCTTTTCTTTTTTCCTTATCCTCCCCCTCCTCCTCTTCTTGCTCCCATGTGTTCCCCGAGGTCTTTCCAAACCGACTCGGGGAACAACTGGCCCGATAGCTTGGCCAAGCTCTGGCCCAGCTGTCGGCCACAGAGGCGCTTCCAAAGGGGCAGGGGGCGGCGGTGATTCGCCGTAGGCGTCTTCGATCCGCCGCCCCCTGTCGATTCATCGCAGGGGTGCCTGACGTGCTAGATTATTTCGGTTTGGGTTTTGGTTCTTTTGCCAAAAGAACTCCCCCTGTGGCTTCGGCCCGTCCCGCCAGCCACCCGGAAGACCCAGTTGCAAACGGTTTTCCTGCCCTAGACGGCCCCAAGATGGCCCAAGATGGCTTCCAAGACGGTTAAGATGGCCCCAATACGCCTCCAAGACGGCCCAAGATGCACCCAAGACGGCCTAAGACGACCCAAGAGGCCCCCAAGAGGCCTCCCAGACGCTCCGAGAGCTCCTCCAGGAGGGCCCGAAGAGGCAAAAAACATTGATTTTCCGTAGGTTTTTAAAGGATGTTGGCATTTGCCTCTTCTCGGCATTCCGACGGCTCAAGACGACCCAAGAGGCCGCCAAGATCGCCCCAAGATCGCCCAAGAGGCCTCCAAGAGGGCCCCATGACAGCCCAAGAGGCCCCCAAGACGGCCCCAAGAAGGGATGCCGAAAATTTGCCCGGACCTGGCTCCAAAGGGTTTTTCCTGGTCCAGACGGCTCCATGACGCCCCAAGATGGCCTCCAAGATGCATCCCAGACGGCCAAGATGGCCTCCAAGACGGCTGAGCCTCCCAGACGGCCCCGAAGCGCCCCAAGAGGGCCCCAAGCCGGTTCAGAGAGGCCCCCAAGACGGCTCCCGACGGCGTCAGACAGGCCAGGAACCCACCAAGATGGCCGAAGTTGGCTCGAAGCTGGCCCAAGACGGCCCAAGAGGCCTACGAGAGGGCCAAAAACACTGGTCGACCTAAAGTTTTGGAAGGATTTTGACATTTGCTTCTTGTCGGCCTTCCGACGGCCCGAGACGGCCCAAGAGCCCCCAAAGATCGCCCAAAGATCGCCCAAGAGGCCTCTAAGATGGCCCCAGAACGGCCCAAGAGGCCCCCGAGACGGCCCCGAAAGGCTCCCAAGACGGCCCAGGAGGCCTTTACGACGCCCAAGATGGCCTCCATGACGGCCCTGGAGCATTCCAAGAAGGCCCCAAGTCGGCCCAGAGAGGCCCCCCAAACGGGATCCGACAGCGTCAGACGGGCCAGGAGCCCACCAAGACTGCCGAAGATGGCCAGAAGATGGCCCAAGACGGCCCAAGAGGCCTACAAGAGGGCCTCCAGGAAGGCCCGAAAAGGCAAAAATCATTGAGTTCCCATTCGTTTTTGACATTTGTTTCTTGTTCGGCCTTCCGACGGCCCGATACGGCTCAAGAGCCCCGAAAGATAGCCCAAAGATCGCCCAAGAGGCCTCCAAGATGCCCCCCAAGACGGCCCAAGAGGCCTCCAAGACGCTCAAGATGGCCTCCAAGACGGCCCAAGAGCCCTCCAAGACGTCCTCCAAGAAGGCCCGAAAGGGTCAAAATGGCCTCCCGACGGCCAAGATGACCTTCAAGATGCCCACGTGTTCCCCGAAGACTTTCTAACCCTTTTCGGGGAACACATGGTCCGATAGCTCGGCAGGTCTGGCATCAACGTTCGGCCACATAGGCGCTTCCAAAAAGGCAGGGGGCGGCGGTGATTCGCCGTAGGCGTCTTCGATACTTATGGAAGTCGAGGACGCCCGCGCCCTCGGACTCCTTGCATCTCGGCGGGTGGAAGAATATGTACTTCCCCCAGCAGAGCTCGTTCTCGAACTCGTACGGGGCACGGGGGTTGCTCCAGTGCAGCCCCTGTGGAGGGTCCAGGGCCATCTCGACGTGCCTGTGCAGGGGGATCCCCAGGTCCGGGTACTCCTCGGCGGCCGAGGCGAGCTCGTTCGCCTGGGAGTCGGTCGACAAGCGCCGGTCTCCGCTGCCGCTCGGGAGCAGTCGCCTCGCCAGCCAGAGGCAGACCACCAGCACAGCCAGCGCCGCCGTCCAGTGCCACGTGTCGGAGATCATTTCGCCTGGGGGCCTGGTGGCGACACTGGCTCAAGCCTCCGGACTTGAGCAGACATGACGAATGGTCTTGTGGATGCCACGACAATGGGCACTCAAACAACCCAGTCGTTGAATTAAAGACGTATTTAAACTGTGTAAGCCATGCTCTACAAATGTTTCAAGCATGCGTTTTTACATATTCAAAACATGTGTAATACATATTTTGGACATCTGGAAATTAATCGGCAGCATGCTTCCTCTCCATTCATCAAGGGCTCCCAACTTCGCGCTTCGCGCTCCGCGAAGCGCGAAGCGCGAATAACTTCGCGCTCTCGCGCCGCCCTCCCAAAGGGAGAATAGGAGGACGAGGAGGAGGGGGAGAAGGAACGAGGACCGCGAAGCGCGAATAACTTCGCGCCCTCGAGGGAGCCCTTGATTCATCGACTTCCACAAGAGTGGTCCCAGGAAGCCTTGAGGCGAACCGTGGGGCTCCGGAGCGGCAGCACCGAATGAGCCCCCTTGTTCTTCCATCGATGGCTGCCACGATGGCTCCAAGATGGCCCAAACGGCACCCCAGAGGGGGCCCTGAGAGAGCCCCAAGAGGACATCAGAGCCTCCCAAGAGGGCCCCATGACGGCTCCAATGTGGCCACATTGTGCCTCCAAGAGTCTCCAGGAGGAGGTGCCCAAGTTTCCGACTGTTGCGGGTGCTCGGGCTGATCACGACGTCGGTTTCATGGGCGCCCGTCTGTTTGCTGCAGCTGATGCTTATCTACTGCTTCGGCAACTCGGCAAGCAATCTTTTCCGCATCGGCTTGTGGAGATACGCGAAATGCCAACAACTACAACATCCAATTTGTCGGCAAATTAGATTGCACACTTTTGTGCAGGACTTAAATGTCGGATAACCTTATTTTCGTTGTGCCGTGCCGTGCCGTCGTCTGGTGACTGGGGCCCTCAGCCTTCTTGCCCCTTTCCCTCTCCCTCCACCGCCCACTCCCCGCATCTTCGTCTCTTCGTGTCAAGGCCTGGGCACGCGTGCGGCGTGTTTTCGTAGCTTACTTACGCAATCTGGAGGCTTGAGCCTCACTTGGATGGTTCAGGACCCGCTGGGCCCCGACGGGCCCTCCCCCACAGAGGAGGGATGAGGACGGACCAAAGAGGAACATGATGATGGTGGTGATGGTGATGGCAACGAGCATCCGACGACGGCGAGCGGCGGCGGTGCAGCAGCTGCGACAGGAGAAGAGAGGATTTTCATCTGCTGCCAAGGACAACCAAGCTAATCACCCACATTCCCCACAAGCGGGTGGGCGAATGCCACAGGGGGAAGAAACGCGACCAAGCAAACTAGGGCAGGCAGAAGACACATCAGCTCCGATCCCTATTGTTTTTGGGCGGAGTCCACGCTCGAGTCTGCTCAGAGCTGTGCTGTGCGAACTTAGATACTTACACTGGTCTGCCGACTTTGCCAGCCTGGCACCACGTGCGACACAGGCGCAGCTCGACAAATGCGAGGGGAAGACTCGCCATGGAAATCGCTGGCCACGCCCTCCTCTCTAGGAGAGCTCCAAGCCATACACCACCACCCGCCCTGGACAGGCCCATCCTGGGCCCTGGACTGGTGCAGGGGCTCTCCTGGCCCAGGCCTGGAGGTCTGTACACCAGTCCAAGGCCCCGGACGGACCTGGCCAGGGCTGGTGGTGGTGTACTGTTGGCGTCCCTCCGATTCTTGCCTCGCCTCTTTCCTGGGAGGGGCGCGTGGGGGGGGGGGGAGCGAGGTGGCCAGAGGCTCGAGGCCTCGAGAGATCGGGGGCTCGAGAGATCGGGGGATCGGGGGATCGAACCTAATCCCCCCGCCCTAACGTTAAGTCGGGCCTGTCATTCTGCAGAGGGATTTTGGACCAAAAATTTGAAAAAAAACCCTTCAAATACTCCAGAATGGTAAAACACATGCTCAAAAAGTGGTCCCCAGACTATTTCTTGACTATCTTTGAATATATTCCCCCTGTAGAGGGACAGGCGCGGCTGAACCCTAACGGTGCCCCCTGCCCTGCCGCAAAAGCCCGGGCCCTCGCCCAGGAGACACGCAGCGGCTCCCCACGGGCCTGCCCGCGGACCCCCGGGACCCACGGGCCCCTTCGCGGCCAGGCCCCGAGCTGACCGAGAACGCCGCGCCCCCCGCAGAAAACGCAGGGCCACGGCATCCTGAGGATGGCAGAAGTCGGCAGACAATCCCGCCCGCGCACAGAAGCTTTGGGAGCCAATCTCCCTGGACCTCGTGGGTCAAGTAGGCCTGGCTCTTTCCGGGCCCAGTGAGCCCACCCCGAAATCCGCCGATCCGGTGTGTGTGTGTGTGTGTGTGTATGTGTGCGTGTGTGAGTTTAGAAGGGCCTGAGCTTCGGCTCAGCTCTGCTGCAGGGGTGACTCTGCTGGGGAAGGGGGGGAGGAGGGGGGGGGGAGCGTTTACTAAATTCCACCCTCCCTCCGGGGGACCCATCTTGCTATTGATCGGCCCATCCCGAACACGTGGTGGAGGGTCCCAGGGACCCTGCGGAACCGGAGAGAGGGAGCCTCCGTTCCCCCCCTCCCCCTGGCGCCCCCCCCTCCCCCTGGCGCCCCCCCCCCCCCACCCCCGCGGCGCCCCCCCTGATGGAGGGAGAGCCCCGGATCGGCGGCACTAGCCAGAGGCCACTTGCATATCAAAACACGATGCCCCCGCGGGGTCCCTGGGACATCGGCTCCGGAAGCGGCGGATATGGATGACTCTGGGCCCTGGACGGGGATCACTGCACAGCTGCACAGCTCGGCTCCTGACGGTACCGAGCCGTAGGCCTCCGGCGAGGGAGCGGGGGACGACTCCGAAGGGCCCCTGGAGGCCCCATCCAGGTGTTCGAAGGATCGAGGATCGAGGGTTCGAGGGATCGTGGTTCGAGGGACCGAGGCTCGATGGATCGAGGCATCGAGCCTGTCCCCCCCCCCCCTAACGTTGCCCCTGCCATGCCGCAGGTGTTCCAGAGACTTCCGGACGCCTCTGGGGACCTCTGAGACCTCAGGGCTGAGACCTGTGGACAACCCTGGACAGCTCTGGAGAGCGCCAGCAGCACCCAGAGGGCCTAAGCATCCGACGTCGTGGGCGCAACCACGGCGGCTCGGCACAGGAACCATGGCGAGAGGCTCTCGGCTGCACGTTCAGGTACAAGCTTCCGAGCCGGAAAGATCCTGCGGGGCAAGAACGCCTGCAGTCGTTTTAAGGACTCCCAGGCCAAGGCGCCCCGTCTGCAGAGCCCTTATCTGCCTCCTCGCCCTGGTGCTGATGCTGCTGATGATGATGACGATGGGGGTGATGATGCTGTACAGTGCGGGCGCGGCCGCAAGAAACCCTCGCAAGAAACCCAACCCTGAGAATCCGTGCGCGAGGTGCACCTGAGGGGAAACCTGGAGCACCCTGAACGCAGCAGCTTCTTCCACGGGTGCGGGAAGTCACCGCGCAGCGCGAGGAGCGAAGAAACCTGGGATACCCCGACGAAATGCATATGGTTTCTTGACGCGGCCTCCACTGTAGATGATGATGCTGCTGACGATGATGATGATGATGATGATGACGACGACGAGGAAGATGCTGATGCTGATGATGATGATGACGATGGCGATGATGATGGCTATGCTGATGATGATGACGGTGACGATGATGATGCCGATGTGAATCATGATGAAGTTAAACTTAACAGTAATCGCAACAATGACTAATACTAATACACATCATCACAATAGCGGTACTACGAATATATAATGACAATGCTAATGCTACTACTACGAATAGTAATACTAAACATGAGAATAAGCATCATGACGCCGTAGATGATGATGATGATGATGATGATGATGATGATGATGATGATGATGATGATGATGATGATGATGATGATGATGATGATGATGATGATGATAATGATGATGATGATGATGATGATGATGATGATGATGATGATGATGATGTTACTGATGATGCTGTACATGATGATGGTGGTGCCGATGGTGATGGTGGCGGTGACGCTGATACAACTGCAGAGTGTGACGATTACGACTATGATGATGATGATGATGATGATGATGATGATGATGATGATGATGGTGATGGTGATGGTGATGATGATGACGATGATGATGATGCATATGATGATGCTGATGACGGTGCTGTTGTTGATGACGATGGTGATTATGATGCTGCTGCTGCTGCTGATGATGATGATGATGATGATGATGCTGATGATGATGATGATGATGATGACGATGATTGCAGCGTCTGACTACTCTTTATCCTCCTCCTCCTCCCTCCCTCCCTCCCTCCCTCCTTCCCTTCCTCCTTATCCTGCTACTCCTCATTCCACATGTTTCATGACTCAGTCCCCCTCCTCCTCCTCCTCCTCCTCCTCCTCCTCCTCCTCCTCCTCTTCCTGCTCCTGCTCCTCCTCCTCCTCCCTCGCCAATCCGCGTCCCCAGCACTGGACACATTTTAGGTCCGATGTCCTTCGGGGCGAGGCGTATCGGCCAGGAGTCCAACGAACGACGGAGTGGAAGACTGCCTAGCAAGGAGGTTTTGTCTCAGCACCCAGGTGGTGGCCGACGACAGGGCACACCCTCAAAAATGGCGGTAGGGAAAGGAGAAGAAACGAGGGAGGAGAAAGGATTCCTCCACGTCCTCCTCCTCCTCCTCCTCCTCCTCCTCCTCCTCATCTCCTTCTCCTCCTCATCCATTTCCTCTTCCTTCTCTTTCTCCTTCCCCTCCTCCTTTTCCTCCTCCTCTTCTTCCTCCTCCTCCTCCTCGTCTCCTCATCCTCCTCGGCCTCCTCCTTGTCCTTCTCCTCCCCCTCCTCCTCCTTTTCCTCCTCCTCCTCCTCCTCCTCGTCCGTAGCCATTTTGGCTCAAGCCGTTCTGGCGCAAGTCTCTTGCCAGAGTCCTGCAACGGTTGGCGTTCACTTCAGAGCGGCGCTGCGGCAACGGGCCCCTCTGGCTCGGCGT